AAGGAAGCCATAGCCTAAACTACGAAACTTTTAATTGCTAAAATTTATTATATATAATAAAAAGAATCCTCTCAAAGCCAATAAAACATCTCAATGCTTCATTGAACTCTAAACTGATAAACAAGTAGGTCACGAGCACAATCCATTTTTTTTTTAGATGAGAACTTTATTCTTAGCCGGAGGCAAATACCAATTTCTTACCTCTTCGATCATAAAATTAGAATTTTTTTCTCTAAAATATATTTATCGTTTAAATAATTTAGAGGGAAGGTGGTGGAGAGGAGAGAGGCGGGGGGGGGGGGGGGGGGGGGGGGGGGGGGGGGGGGGAGGCACAATAGGCGAGCGATTAATATTTCCGATTATCGTGTTAAGTGATAACATATTTATTTAGTATCTGATATGGAAATTCTCGTTAAAAAAAAAAAAAAAAAACTACTTAATGATACTTCTTCGAATATTCTCAATTTGTACTTCTCTATCGTTAAATGAAAATTCTTTAAAAAAAAATTATGTACTAATAACCAACGAAACGAAAGCACTTTTAGTTATTTATTGAAAATAATTCATAATAAATTATTTCATTTTTTATTAAAAAATAACTGAAATTATTTATTTCATATTTTAAATATGTCATTAAAAAAATAAAATGAATTTTATTTATTTAAATGTGATAATTTTTCTTGAAAAAAATAATCGATCGTATAAAAAATTGCACTAAAATATTTATTTTTCCGGAAGAATTTAACTGATGAAATTACCTACAATTATTATTATTATTTTTTTTTGATGTTTTTTTTGCATTTTAGTGCAAAGTTTGATGAAATATTTAAGCAATCCAGAAAATCCGGAGATTTTCAAAAAAAAATTTACGCATAATTTCACTAATTTCTTTATGTGCAGATGTTTTCTGAATTTCAATTATCATTTGTGATTTTAATAAAAAGCTATCCGAATTAAAAAAGGAAGAACATGGACATTTCAAACATTCAAACAGTTCCACTATTTTTTCTCCTCTTGTAAATTCCTCTTCTTCTAATAGCTCGCACCATTATCGATTTAGAACTAAATTCACTGGTGAGAAAAATAAACCACAGCTTGGACCATTACCGATTTTTTTTTAGAGTCCTCACCATTACTGGTTAAACTCGCTAGAGTGGCTTGTCGCATTGGGCAATATACCAGGGAATCCCTTGGCGATAGGAATACAGGTGAGTCGCCAGCATCAGCCGGATTTTTGTACAGGTTATACTCCCGCGGGGAATCGAACCTCAGCATCGGCCCTCCAAACTGAGCAACAACCCACTGAGCCATTCTATCCCCCATTACCACGGCCTGTACCATTACCAATTAGGCTAACTCTGATAATGACTAGGAAAATAAAGGTGAGTATTTTTAAGCGTTTTTTCCCCTTACAAATTACAAATCTAGCGTAACGAAGTTATGTGAATATTGTTTAACTTTCAACTATTATAAATTTTTTACAAGTATTTACATTTACTTAAGTTGTATAACTTTACTGAACTCTTTCTTCTATATTTACATTATATGAGGTAAACGAATGAACTAAACAAATATTTCTCTTTGAAACCAATAACTTTTCAAAGAAACAATTTAAAATAAATATTATTTTTTTTTTATATTTTATAAAATTTTATAAATTTAAATTTTATAAAAATTTTATAAATAAATAAATAGCGATAGTTTTTCCTCTTTTAATAGTACTAACCTGATTTATTTTAATTCATTTTAGTTGAATATTCAAAAATATTATATTAAATATTATATTCAATATTTTAGTTGAATATAATATTTAAAAAATATATTTAAAATATTTAAAAAATTATTTTCGCTGAATCACTTAAAAGTTGAAATACTAATAAATGTTAGAAATATTTGAATTTTATTTTTAATATTATTAAATTTTTACTAATTCCTTTTTTTTTTAAATTAAAAAATAAGATTAAAAAAAATTTTAAGATTAATTCAGATTGTTGATGAAAGTCTTTTCCAACCGCAATTTAGTAAACTTTTTGTCAATGAAAGTTTATTTCTCAATGAAACTTGATAATACCTCATCACTTATCTTATTTCTATCTATCGCACAACAAATCCCAACAATCCTCGCCCAAGCCTTAACATATTTCATATGGCTTATCGCTTATGACTTAGGCCGTAAATCGATCCTTAATCCCGATATCTTTCATCCTAATCCACTACTATTGAAACATTAAACAGTAACCACGCCTACTGGAAAATCCCGCCCATACGCAAAGATCTATTAGTGCGCGGCGCATTTCAATACATTTTAATATGTAGGCGCAATGCGCTGCGATTGTTGTCATAGTAACCGCGCATTGCGCAATTTCATTCAATTATTTTATTGGTTAATACATATGTTGGCTCCGCCTACCACAAAAGGTTACAACAATTCTTTTCAGTGAGAACAATTCAGTGTAATCTTTCTCGTTGCTTTTTATCAGTCCATTCCATAATTTAATTTTGGCTATAGAAGTTGGGTGATGGGAGGCGATTATCATTAGTTTGGCGTTAAACTTGGCTGGTTAAGCCGAAATCGATCAGTCTTGTGATTCTTCTTGCGGTTAAAAATTATAAAAATCAATTTTTTTATTTGAATATTTTTTAATATTTAGTAAAATAAATTTGTTCAGCTTTTTTTTTTAAAAAATAAAATATATTAAATTTAAAATTATAAAGAAAATTTTTGTTTAGAAAAATTCTGAAATTTTTTTCATTTCATAATTTTTTGTAAATCTTTTTGTAAAAAAAATAATACAATATTATTTCAAAATATTATTTTTATTATTGTCATTAGTTCTCGTTTTTTTTTTTGTGTGTTCGAATTTTATTCGTTGAAACTTGTTTTTTTTCCATTTTAAATATTTGTTTGCCGCTTTTGTTGTGTTTAGACGGCAGAAAAAAAAAGAGAAATGTGAAAATTATTATTTTCGAAGTATTAAAATTTTTCGCTCTTTTTTGTTCGTTTTAATTAAAATTTAAATTAAAAATTGTTCAAAAGTGAAATTTTATGTGAAGAAAAAGTTTTTTTTCCAATTGGAATATTGATAAAAATTTTTTTTCGCAAACAAATTAGATATATTTTATAAAATCATTTTATTTTCTGCTTCAATTTTTAGTTAATTTTTAATTTTTTAATTTTTGTTAATAAGGAAATCACTAATAGATAAATTGTTATAATAAAAAAATAATTCGCATCTAATTTTCAGAAAATTTTTTGCTGTGTGATTTTAAATTATTAATTTAAACAAATTCATTTCGTAAAACTAATAAATTTTTCAAATTTTTTGTTTTCGATGATTCATCATTTATTGAAAAATTTGTCATTAAATATTTAAATCGTTTATTTTAAATTTAGTTTGGTTTTTAATTTGTATTTAAAATATTTAAAATCATTAAAATTTGTATGAATTTTCATATTCATTTTTATTATTTTTTCATCAAATTCTCGTGGAGATTCGTGTATTGAATTGTTTTTAAAAAATTCTTTCTATTTCATTTTATTATTTCATATTAGATTTGAAAAGGAATTCCAGTAATGCTTTTTTTTCCCACTTTTCAAAATCTTTTCTTGGTGACCTCTCCTTTTTTCTTTTTCTAAAAATGTATTCTGTTTTAATGAAAAATGGAGATTTGTGTTTGATATTGTGTATTTATTTTGTAGAAGTTTTCTTGTATATTTTATAAGTTCAATGAAGTTGACATTTTCAGTGTTTTTTTTCGAGAAATGTAGGCGTAACAAGTCGATTAAGCGTGCATTTGGTAGCAATTTCATTTAAAATTTTATGAAATTGTAATCATGAAAGGATTTGATTGAAAATAAGCGATTAGAGCAGAGCATAATAACCCATAACTTTTTTCATAATAAAAATAGGGATTATAAATAATTTGTGTAAATAAAATTTATTATTGTTCTTCGAGTAAAGTAAAGGCTTATTTAAAGAAAATAATACTGTTTGGTACTATTTGCTTTTTTTTTTTTTTTAATTTACTCGCTTTTTAAAGCACAATTTTATTTGAATTTTATTATATCGGTTTTATATCGATGGATATAAATCAAGTTCGATATTCGTCGACGATCAGTTAAAGTTCAATGAAAGGACGTTTGATTTTTTTTTCTTTTTTTTTTTATTTTCTATTAATAATAACAGCAATAATATTATTAATCATAATAAATAAATTAATAATTAATAATAATAATGTAACAATAATAAAATCAATAATGATTAATAATATTGTTAATAATAATCGTAATAATTAATTAATATAGTCATATAATCATAACGAAATGATCTTATTTTGCTAGCACTATGCATGCATGTGAATGATTTTATTATATATGTATATGATTATATATATATATATATATATTATATGATTCTGTATTATTCTAAGAAAAACATCCTAATGGAGTAATTCACTTTATTTGTCAAAATAAGTCAAATAAATGAATTGCATAAGGATAAAACGAATAGAAATATTAGTGAAATTTTGATATTGTAAGAATTTTTATTCATTAAAACCTAATTATTAATTTTTTTCATAAATTGTTTAATGAATATTTGAAGTGAATTTAAAAAAAGTGAAATCTCTCATTTTTTTTTTTTTTTTTTCAAATTATTCATTTTGCGTTTCATGAATTTTTCTTTTGTAAATAAATTTCTCCTATTTTTTTTGTTTTTTATGAAAATTTTTTGTGAAAAATTTTAATATACGAAATAGTAAATTTTTGATTGTTATAAACAAGAAAAGTAAAAAAATTTTCAGGTGTAAATCAATCGAATTTTGGGAAAAGAAGGTGGTTGCCGTCTTTTCGAATTAAAAGGCTCATTTAAATTGAATCAGCAAAAGTTTTCGCTTTTTTTTCCTTTTTTTGTGAACACAATCATCTATCTTAATTTACAATTTTGATCTCGTCTTCGTTTTATTCTTGTTTTCTTTGTCGAAGTAATTCATCATAAAATATGGCCGATCAATTAACCGAAGAGCAAATCGCTGGTAAATTCGATTTTTATTTTAATTTTTTATTTTTTTTTTTAAATTTTATTAAAATTATTTCTTTTTAAATATATTTTTTTATTTTGATGACGAGAAGAAATTTTTTTTAATCGTTCAATGGAAAATTATTAAAAACTGTGGAATAAACTAAAAGTTATTAGAAGATTTTAGATGGGAAAAAAAATGAATCGCAAGGAACATTTCATTTTTTTCTTTTTTTTTCTTAAAATAATATGTAAGATAGAGCTGTTAATAAAAATTCGAACGAATTTTCAGAATTTAAAGAAGCGTTTTCTCTATTCGATAAAGATGGTGATGGTACAATTACAACAAAAGAACTTGGTACGGTTATGCGGTCACTTGGACAAAACCCAACTGAAGCTGAATTACAGGATATGATAAACGAGGTCGACGCAGATGGTTCGTATTAAAACTTTTTTTTATCGCATATTGTATATAATAGCTCTTGAAAAATTGATAAATTTTTCTTTTTTATCGAAGATAAATTTGGCTAGTTTTATGGTAAGTAGAAATATAGAATAAAGATATTGGTTTCGATTTATTCAACTGTAGATAAATTGTAGAAGTGATTTTTTGTTTAGTGGAATTATGTAGAGATTTAGATAATATTTCTTAGTTATAGTTAAATTTTATCTCCTGTTTAAATTTTATTTTTCAGGTAATGGAACTATCGATTTCCCTGAATTTCTCACAATGATGGCGCGTAAAATGAAGGATACGGATAGTGAAGAAGAAATTCGAGAAGCTTTTCGGGTATTCTTTTTCATCAGTTTTTATATGTGTGTATAAAATAGGGAAGAATAACACTTCATCATATATTTTTTTAGAAGGAATTGAAGCTGGTATTTGTGGTCTAATTTTTTAAATTTTTTCTGTTATAGTCAAACATTATCTGGCTATTTTAATTGTATTCTGTATTATAGGTTTTCGATAAAGATGGAAATGGTTTTATTTCGGCAGCTGAGCTTCGCCATGTTATGACAAATCTTGGTGAAAAACTAACAGATGAAGAAGTCGACGAAATGATAAGGGAAGCTGATATCGATGGAGATGGTCAGGTCAACTATGAAGGTTTGTTCATTTTTCATTGAACTTGAAATTATTTTCTTTGAATATTAAAAACTTTTACAACTGGTTTTCTCTAAGAATTGTTCCAAGGAGAATTTTTGAAAAACTATTTCGTAATTCCAGCGAATAGAAATATTATTTATAATTTATTTAATAAATTAATCTGATTGATAAAGATTTGTAATTTTTTGCAGAATTTGTCACAATGATGACTACAAAATAAGAAGAAAGATTTGTGGTAAAAACTTTCTTTTCTAATAAATTCCTCGTTTCATATTTTGAAATTTTTTTGTGATTCTATTTTTTATTTTTTATATGCGCATATGAATACAATGTGCAATATTGCTGCATCATTTGTTTCCAGATTGTGCATTTCGCAAATTCAGCTTATATTTTTCTCTTTTTTGATCACTAACTCTATCCGCTAGTAGCAAATAGACGTTAAGCCTTATTTCTCCTATGAGCATTCCGAAAATGCTTGATTCAAAAATTTCACTATTTGGGACTGCGAATGTGCTTTCTATATTTCCCAATGACAATTCTTTATTTCGCTCGCTACTTGCCCATTTCTTACTTTCTTCATTTACATTTGTTTAAAAATGTGCTGAATAACCTTTAAATTTTTCTATTTATTATAGTTTATTCGGGAGATTGAATAAAAATTGTTTGTGTTTGTTGCTTACATATTTTTTTCAACAATACCTTTAAAATTAAATAAGTTTAGTGTTTATTGCAAAATAAGATAACAGAAATGGGAGGTAATTGTGGGAATTGTATGAAAGGGGAATTAACGCGAATGTTTGAAAATAGTTCGTTAAATATTAAGTGAATTATTTTCGAAGAATTTTGGATTATTGCTTTTTAAAAGAATTAGGTTTTGTTTATGCTATGCAAATCATAAATATTATTGAATGAATGTTTGGAGGTGGGGGGGAGGGGGGGGGGTGGGAGGAATATTTATTATTGGTTGTTAGTTATGTGCACTGAAAAATAAAAAAATACAAAATAAAAAAAGGATTCTAAATTTTAAGGATTAGAAAAACGAGTTTTATTAGTTTTATAATAATTGAAAACAAAAAATGCATTTCTATTATTATTCAATAAATGAATTTGAGCTATAAAATAATTAAGTAAATTATTATATTATTGAAACAAATATAATGAAAATTTTTTTTTTTTGAAAAACAAAAAATGAATTGTGAAAAGTATTTAAAAATACTCATTTATTTTTAAAAGCGAAAAAAAGATTTTTTTTTTTCATTAATTAGAAAATGAAAATAAATGAATAGTTTTTTCGATTATAAAATGAATAATTAAGCTAAGATTTTTCGTTTATAAGAAATAAGAGGGATTTTGCTCGTCGTGCGCAAATGTCGATCGACGATTGCGATTACGAATTCAATATTCTTTTTTTTTCATTTATCGTAGTTCACTGCGATTTGCTTTATGGTTGAATTTAGAGAATCCAGATGGGCGAAATATTTATAAAATTGATAACAATTTTACTTGCCTATATAAACATTTTAATTAATGAAATAAAGCGGAGCGATTTATTAGGCGATAAGATAACAAACATAAACTGATTGAACGATAATGAAATAATAAAATATTTTTTTGGTTTATGATTTGTGTTGTAAATCTATAAAAGAGGAGGAGGGGGGGGGGGGGGGGGGGGGGGGGGTGGGGAAGGAGAGGGGAAAAGGGGAGGGGGAAATTTTTAATTGTAAAAGAATGGTTAGTAATTCTTGGTTTTAGATAGTTATGCTGAACCGTGGTGATAACGAATAAAGTGATCACTTTCAGCGAATGCATTCCCTTTCCTTGCAGCCCCATTCAGCTGCATCCTATTTGTATCCTCAAAAAATAACATCGGTACCTCTCTAATCTGATTGTTTTTTTTTTTTTTTTAAAGAGTCCTCACCATTACTGGTTAAACTCGCTCCACTGGCTTGTCGCATTGGGCAATATGTCCCTTGGCGATAGAAATACAGGTGAGTCGCCAGCATCATCCCCGGACTTTTTGACTCTTGCGGGGAATAGAACCTCAGCATCTGATTGTAATAAAACAGTATTGATTATGTGGACATATTTTATAATGTTTAGCTTATAGCAAAGTTGATAGGTCATCAATCACAGAATACGAGATATAATATCGAAGAATGTGAAGGTCAAGCAATTATGTCAAAAATCTACGGGGTCAATGGAAATACTATAATCAAATACAAAAGTGGGGAGAATCTAAAATTATTTAGTAATGATCGTATTTAGTTCGCCTTATTGGTTCAACAACGAATAGCATGGATTTTAGTCATATTTCTCTGATAGAATCGTGAGATACGGCTGCTTGCTAGGATTTTCAATGGACTGAAAAGATATTAGTAATTGGGCCAAATAAATAATGACTTATTAACTGATATTATAACTGGGCTTCAATCCACTGAAACTTTTCTTCGTCTAACTCGTCTAACCATTGATGCTTTGGCTGGTTCCATTCGCAACCAGGTCTGATATTATAACTGGGCTTCAATCCACTGAAACTTTTCTTCGTCTAACTCGTCTAACCATTGATGCTTTGGCTGGTTCCATTCGCAACCAGGTCAAGAATCTTCAAGTTTTACGATGGATGTCATACCTGAAAACAACTGAATTCACTCATTTTTCAACCGTTTAGGAGGAGCATTTTGCCGAGCTGCTTATGAGTTGAAAATAATCTGGCAGTATCAGTCTAAATCTTAAATGGACCATTTCGCTTTCGAGATCACAGGGTTAGTAAACAGCGAAATGTGAATCAGTTGTTGGGACGATCGTTGAAGAACATGGCCTACTATCATGCAAAAGGGCATGAAATTACGTGGAACTTCGTTCACTTCGCAGATATGTAGGATGTAGCTTAAGCAAGATCAAAGATAGAGAATGTCCTGTTATCCTCCACTCTTCTTAGCAGTGCTTTTGCGTTTTGCATCTATAAAGATTGTACGTGCTACAGCCAAATAGTGCGAATTTTTGGCGATTTCATGACAATTCTAGAGAAGCTTCGCCATGGCTTCTATGGAAGAAAGCATTTAGTTCCGTGTTGCTTCCACTGGACCATTAACTACGAGACTGGATCGGGAATATTTAAAATTTGGTATTTCCTGGATCGATGGTGAATTTATAGTTATCAGAATCTGACATATAATATCTTGTTTACACTGATTTGAGGGATAATTTTTGTTGCTACTATCGGCATCCGTTCTAACAGTCCTTTGTTGCAATTCCCCTTATTACTGTTAGATAAAGCAAAATAGCCAGTGATGTCCGTGATGCTATGCTTTGCTCTCTATAGGCTACGACACTGTAGCTTTTCGCTTATAGGCCTCTCATACTAGTGAACTAGTGCATATATATTAGGCTATACTAGTACATTAGTACACATATACAGAAGGGATGATTGGAAGGAATATTTCTCCTCTTTTTAGAAATATGAATTCCTTTAGGTTAGCCATTCTTTAAAATATCCCTTGAATGATCAAAACGAAATGCTCGAAATTCACATTTTTTTAAAATACTTCAATATTTACAAATTTCATTAAATATAAATTTTAAATTATTAAAAATTTATAATTATAAATTATAAATAAATTTATTTATATTTATAAATATTATAAATAAATATCTACAATAAATGTATGTTATTTTACAAATATGTTATTTGGTTCAGTACTCGTAGATGAGTTAAGGCGATTAAATTACCATTTAGGAAATTATTTATGGCATGTTTATTCGTTGTTTTTCCCTTCGTTGTTTAGCAACGTCTAGGTCTGATTATCATTATCACTGTATTATCATCCTATTGTTGCCGTTTAATTTTATTTATAGCAATGTTTAACATTATCATTATCACAGTACCGTTGTCTTTTAACTTTATCTTTAGCAATGCCTAAGTCTTATTATCACTATCTTGTCCCCGTTATCTTTTAATGTTATTTCCTACGCTTTGAGAATTTAACCTGGTTTTGGGTGGAATTCTATCAACGAAATTTGTTGTAATTCCTTTTTCAAAATGTAAATTACAAAATGTAAATCTTTTAATAGATTTGCAAGATTATTTTTGGTGACCTTTTATTTAATTATGGGCTTCCTGATAAAATCATTTGTAATCTGAATAAACGATATTTTTTGTAAAATTCTTCAACAATTTTTTAATGAGGTTAAGATATTTGGATAAACTCTCCTTGCAGCTGTGAAATATACCCATACGCGCGCTCTCTTTTTACTAGTCTATTCAATTGCATCCGGAAAAAAACCCACTTCAACCTACAAAAACCTGGTATATTTTGTGAAAACCCTCTGGATTCCTGTAAAACACTGTCTTGATGTCTTAACACGTCCCAAAATTCAATTATTCTCCGTACACCCTTGTCCATTTCTACATTTTTTTTTGCCCTAACGCTTTTATTATCTTACACTCCCTTAACCAGCAGATCCCTTTGTGCCTCCCAAACAACTCTGAGATCTGCCATATTTTGTGAATAAACTCGAAGCCATTTCTTTAAGTCTCCCCTATAACTTTTATCATATTCCATTACCTTTTAAGTCACTCCAACCACTTTAACCCTCTAACAAGCCTAGTTGCATCCTCAACATCTCCTTATCGTTCCCTTAACGTCAACCCAGACATTACTACCATGGTCGTAATGACCAGTTGTAAAATTGCAAATGGCAGCTTGATTGATGATATCGAAGAAGTTTAAAAAGAGTTGAAGAGTGTTGTTCTAGAGAACTGACTAATCTGAAAAAACTTTTCGTAGGATTCGAAGAGATCTTAGAGCAATATGACGTGTTCTGCAATCGAAGACAATTCTGCCCGTCCACGATTTTCTTATGAGTTTTTACTATAAAAAAAAGAATACACCTTGCAAACAACGTTTAAAAAAACCATACGTACATTATTAAAAACAAATCACTTTTCTGTGATTATTTATGATTATATACCCGATTAATAAATAAATGAACAATTTACGGATTTAAACAAAGAAAATAAGCATGATAGCTGTGGATAATAATCGTAAATGTCCATCTCATAAACATCGAAATCATTGCACTCACTTAGCCACACTGAAACTGACATTGTTGGTACTGCGGGAACACCAGAACTTCCGCTAATGCCCAGATTGTGCGAGGTAGATGGTGTACGTATACACAGACTTTTGTTTTCACGAAGCATTTCTATAATTTTCATAATTATAATCTAATTTAAACAAAATACAAAAATAACTTAGCAGATTTCCGATATTCACTGACACCTGACACCTTTAGTAAGTCAATTTGAAAAAGAAAAAAAATTTAGAATACGAGAGAACAAAAAAAATCATTTACCATCTGAATGAAAAGTACAAGAAAGCCGGAAGGCAACAAACATCAACGATAAACTTGTGACGTATATTAAGATGGCGATCGAAACAAACAAAATCAATGGTCGAACACATTTCAAATAAAGATTGAGACGTTCGTATAATATGTTTATTTCGTTATACGTGCAAAAACCAAATTTTTTAACAGAATTTAAAGCGATCCACCTTTCACAAATTCCCAAGACATTATAAAACTCATTTTCATCAATATTGAGATTCCAAGCCTGCAATTTCATTACCTAAAAACTCAAAAATGCCATCGAAAAAAGAACGAATGAAAAAAATCTTCAAAAATCAGTAAAAATTTTGAAGATGTTCAAGTAATAAGAAATTACAATAACGTCCAAAAACTGTAGTTCAAGAGCGTTAATTCGCTTAACAGATGTACTTGCAGATACGGCCCATTCGTCATTATAAACAGATTCTTTAATACCATCGTCCTAAATGTTGTAAATGTTGATAATTACCAATTAACGAAACTTGTTGAAACAAAAATGAAATGAAAACGATTAAAAAAGACGAAATATAAATTATTTCTGGATGTATAAAATAAAGAACCTATAAAACAAACTATTCAAAGCATTCTTTTTATTAGATATGAAATTTAGAAGAATACCGAAATATTACATAAAGAAACTTAGAAGCGACAACAAGAGCAGATATATAAATTTCGTTCGGATCGGTTGTTTCAAAAAATTGTTTATCAAGCTTTCGAATACGATCAACATAGACCATTGCAACTAAAAATGTACATGCATCCACACATCCAAATCTAAACTATTTCAAATAAAAATAGTTCTTTTTAAATTTATACATACACCACTTTATAATTGAAAATTCTCTTGTTAAAAGAGATATAAATCGATTACAAACCATATTAAAAATAAAAAATTGGAATAATTTCAGACATAAATAGCTAAAATCAAGATAAAGGAAGAAAAAAATAAAACCAATTAATGCTACTGAAACCTTGTCAAAGATGCAGCGTAGTCAAATTCCATATAATCATATGGCGCATAAATATCAAAATAATCAACAATAAGCTCCGAAAGTTGCATTGGCAATGAACGCAATTGGTGAGTGTTGAAACGCAAAGACCTCCGAATTCGTTGATTTAATAGTCGATAATTATTGAATTTAGGAGCCATCTCCGCAAAAAAACAATTATTTTACAAATTTCCTGGAAATATTAATAAAGCGATATTTTCACAATGTTTATAAAACACATTTACAAAAATTCAGAATGGAAAATAAAAGTGATTTTAGCTAATTTTGGATACGGCAACGCATCAAGAAGTACGCAAACAAATATCTATTTCGTAATTTTCTTCTTTTTTTTTCCTTCAAACAATTAATTTTTGTCGTAATTTCTTTATTAGAAAAATTTATTAAATTTCTCTAATAAATATAATCACAATTTAGAATAATTTTGTAATTATAATTGTACAAAAATAATAATTAATGAAGATAACTTTACGATAACTTTAGATCGAATTAACAATCACAAAAAGAACTTAAAATAATATTAATCTGAAGTGCATCTGTGGTGCAGTTGGCTGTTAACCGAACAAATTTTCGCTATCTACACATGACACCGATAATAATATGCAAATCCTAAACCCGATTAACGAATATTTGTAGAAAAAAAAAGACCAAATTTTTGCACCAAAAGAAACATAGGAGTGAACGCGAATTTTTGAAAGGTAGAATCGCTTAGTTTATTTGTTTACTTTACGATGTTAGGGTTCCATTCCTGACAGGAACAGTTACGAAATTCAAAAATCCGCATAACGCTAGCCCGTATTCATAATCGCTAAGTGACTCCTCAGCAAAATTTGCCTGGTTTATGAAACCAACGAAGCGATTCTATGAATACTCATAGACAAAAAAAGCGAGTGAATAAGCGGTACATTGATTGATTGATCGAAATAATTTGAATCGAATTTAACGATAGTAAAATTATTGTTTAAAAAATGAAATCCTGGATGGTTCTTCGAATACATCCTTTAATTCTTCAGCGATTCTTTCGTTACAGTCAGCTAAAGCTTTATTGCTTTACGATAATGATAATGATAATAATAATGAATGATAATGATAATGAATGATAATAATAATGAACGATAGTGATAATGAATGATAATGATATTCAATAATATTCAATGTTTTTTTTCCACAAAAATCACTTAAATCAGTTCATTTTCTTTCCTATTCAAGCGATTTGTTCTTTCTCTTCGAAATTCCCTCATTAGTCTCTCACTTTCCCACTTTTTCGCCCTTTTAAAAAACACCACTCTCTTCTAAAATTTCATAAGTGTTTTTGAATTGGCACAAGGCCAACATTTGGCAAAATGCCAATCACATTATATTAATTATATTTATTGAATAAAACTTTTTTATAAATTGAAATTTTCATTTTTAATATAATTTTGAAAAAATATTTATAAAATAAACGACAAAATTTATAAATTTTCAACGAAGAATGAAAAACTCAATAGGAAAAAGAAAAAGCGAAAAATATTGATGTTCAAATAAAGTTACAAGGCAGCTTATAGCAATTTCTATTTGGAATGGATCAGAGCGCGCCAATGCTCTTCTGGTACGCACGCTTGTAAGACGACAGCGTGGGACGTGTCAATGGCGTGAATATAGCCAAATATTTGTGGTTATTTTTATTGTTACGATAATTTTCTTTTTTTTTTGCATAGGTCAGAGGTTGTTGTTCGGGTCAAAGGTCAACTTATCTCTAAATTTTTGTAAGAATTTTTCGCGAAATTTTCCTCTCTTTTTTCTATCTTTTCTTTCGTTAACTATCTTCATTCTTGTTTTTCATGGAATAATTTGTACTTTTTTTTGTTGGCATAAAATTTTTTTTCGAAAAAAAATCATGCAGTTCACAGTTGTATATTTTATTAAAATTTTTGATTTGTAATTTTTTTCCTTTTCTGTTTTACTATGGAAATTTTATTAAATTAATATTTGTACTTATTGTTTTTGCGCTATTTCGTACGATTATCGATTAATTTTTTTCAAAGAAGTGAATATTTCTTAATTTTTTAAATTGTTCAGTGTTTCTTTTTTTTTTATTTTGATTAATATAATTGTATGATATTTCAAACATTTATTTTTAATTTTGAAGCACTTTGAGTTAATTAGTTTAGTGCAGAAATTTTATTGATTTTTTTCAATTGTGTTGATTTTGTTTTTTTTCGAACAATTTGATCATTTTTTATGTTTTACCTAAATAGATGGAAATTTAAGCAAATTTGATTTTGAAATGTGAAGCGAATCTTCGCTTTTGTAAATTTATTTTTTGTCTTTGCTTTTAGTCAAACTAATTTTTTTTGAAGGAGCGTTCTCTTTTTTTGGTTAGGTTTTTCGTTGGTATGTCGGATTAGAAAAGTTTTTGCCATGAATCATTTCGTGATAGAAGTACAGATAGATCGTTAGCACCACCCAGATTTTTGAAAGACAGATCTGCTCGTGCTGGGAGTAGAGCCCCCCCAACAGCGCTCCGCGATGGATGCAGCAATAATTTTTTTAATTATTATTTGCAAAGAAATTTTAATGTTTCCTTTGTGTGCACGTTCGTGTCAATTTTTTTTTAGTTTTTTATATTTTTAAATATTCACGAATTGCACTAATAAATCTTATATTGTACTAATGGTTCTGTTGCATTTTCTGTAGATTTGAAAATATTAATCATTAAGCTAGTTCGTTGCATATTAATTACGTTATTTTCGAAGTAAAATGTTTAAATTTTATTAAATTTTTTCACATTTGAGGAAATCCTGAGTATTTTATCTGATGTTTAAATAATTTTAGTGGAAATGAGTAAATTTCGTTTGAAATTTTTGTAAATATTTTTTAGGAGAATAATTAATATTAAGGAAAATTTATTGTTTCAGATAAACTTACAAGGGTTTTCTGGTGTGAAAATAGATTCTATCTTTCGAGCAGCAATATCAAGGAGATATGTCGGAAGTGGGCGACGCTACAGAACGAACCACTCGCACCGAATATAACAAATCAGATATTGTTCAGAATATTGAGGCGATGGAAGGTATTATTGTCATCTCATCTCTCTCTCTCTCGTTCACTTCATAAGGTTTTAACCAAGCATATTAGCGCACTTGCAACAACACTGCTGCGACAATGGTCTTGGCGGTCTTGAACAGCAATCTCTGTAGTGCATGTGGCAAATATGAATCATCCTATCGCAAGTAAAAATTTTCTACAGGTCTAGAAGCATTAAAACCTTTTTGAGATGTGTTCCTTATAGGATGTATTATTACAGGGAGTAATAAGATTGAACCGGAGAGTAAAGGAGAGTTAGAGAGCAAAAAAGGAGAACTGGAAAGCAAAAAAATTGAATTAGAGCCTTCAACAAACGGTGAAAGTATTAGAGAAGGTTCCAATGAAGGAGAAGGTGATTTGAAAATTGTGGAAGAGGAAAAGCGTAAATTAGATTCAAACTCTGTTGAACCAATCAAGGTTAGGTTATTTTTATAGTCTTTATTTTTAAATCTCGACAAGTCATTGGAATTCCTGATTTTCAATGTTTTTTTTCTTGGTCATTTAAGACACGCATATCCCAAGTATGTTTAGACCGAAGTTTCACCTGAGCTAATGAATACTGGCAAAACTAATGATTTGACTGAGGAGACGAAAGAAAGTGTTAAAACGTCGGAAGTATCAATGGCATCACAGGTTTTGAAAAATTTCACGTATTTTTGCCATATCTAATTTTTGAATTTATGAAGGTTTTTTGCAAAATTTCAGTTTGCTGAATGCTCATTTCGTAGTTGAAATTTGTTTTATTAACGGCATTTATACTGTGGCTGCGACGACATTATTTTTTCAGAAAATTGTGGAAACGACAAGCAAGGAGCACGTAGACGTGGCTAATTGTATGAACGACACGGAAACAGTGGATGCGACATTGCATGCTTCGGTTTGCATTACAAATTTGAAAAATTCATTTAAGAAAAGACCTGGACTGACCATTCCTTTACAGGTTGAAGTGCATGAGAAAACTGCATTGCCCGAGGGTTTTGCTAATGAAAAAATCACAAATGAAGAAAAAGAAATGAGGAATGACGCTGAAGAATCGAGGGAGGACAAAAAAGAAGAGGAGGTTTATTTCAAATACTGAATAAAAAATATTTCCGTCAGGTTTTTCGCTATTTCACAATTGGTATGACACTTGCAGGGAGTCGGGAAGCGCGTATTACCAAAATGGATGGTTCAGAGTGCAGATGCTCCTCCGAGTCCAAATGCAGGGGAATTACAGGGCCAAGATGGTGCACAGAACAATGATGTAACAGGAGTTGTTGCCTCTGGCCGTGGGCGAGGGCGAGGAAGGGGTCGTGGTCGTGGCGCAGCTCGAAATGTGCAGAGACCCCAACCCGTATGTTTTTTCCTTCATTTCAAATGAAAGCAATTATGCTTGCTAACACGGTATTTTGTTTTCAGATTGTCACAGAACAACCAGAATCTCTATCTGCAGGTCGTCCTCGTCGATCCACTCGTTCCGCAGTTGATTATGCTCATCCAGATGTAGCGACTGTTGTTGCTGAACAAGAAGATCTTGAAAATGAGGTTGATTTTGTTTGTTGTTAGTAATTTCAATTATGGAGTGATTATTCTTTTAACTGTTTTGATTATAGTTGCAGCAAAAACTGTCACGGCGTGGACGTAATCGTGGCCGAGGTCGCGGCAGAGGTGCTGCGCGGAAGATGATTGGAGATGCCAGCGATGAGGATGATGGTAATGATAGTGGTTCAGAGTATGGCGCTTCAAAAAAGAAATCTTCGTCATCCAGACGTGGAAGGGGTCGAGGACGGGAACGGGGAAGAGTTCGACGATCAACTCGCACATGTAAGCCAGACATAAAATTTTATGGATATGTGAACCAAAGTTTGCGAGAAGATGATTGTGCCGTGGAAATGCTTTTATAAATGCTTTAAATGTAATATAAATGCTTTTTTGTGGGTTTCGCATGAATTAGGATTGGGAATCTGAAAAAGAAGTAGGTCAGTTCTAAATGAACGCATCTAGTTAGCCGGTGAAAACTTCTCAAATAATTTTATTTTTCGTTTTGTTTATTTTCATACCAAAATGAGTTCAGAGTGCAGATCCTCCTCTTAATCCAAACGCAGGGGAATTAAAGGGCCAAGACAGTGCACAGAATAACGATGTGACAAGAGTTGTTGCCTCTGGCCGAGACCAGTTTACAAGATAGCAGAATTTTCTGAACCTTTATTAATTTTATAATTGTTTTCAGCCAGAAAAGCCCATAAGGATGAAAGTGAAGAGGAGGAAGAGGAATTAGATTTGGATGACGATGATGGTGGACCATCTCCTGTTTCTGGCGAGGAGGAAGAAGAGATGGATTATAAGCCTTCAGTTGAAAAACGCCGTGTCGATAATCCTCAACAGTGGAAGCAACCGCCTAAGAAACGTGGTCGTTCTACAGCCGTGCCAGAAAATCAGGCAAAAGATTGAATGAAAATTTTGTTTTCGCGTTATTAATGTTGAAACAGGTTTTTCGTTGTGTGAATAATTTTTTTTTCTAAGTGGTAGGTGGTAGTGTAATATTAATATTTGGCGATTATATTGTTCTGACATATTTAGATGCAAAAAGCTAAATCATTTTTCTTTTAACAGTGCATTTATTTTAGTAGAGGTTGCTATTTTTACTCATTGAAACTCATCACTGACTTTTATTTTTAACACATCACTGAATTATTTTTGAGAAGGATATCTGTAATATTTTCATTTGTCGTTATTTGTTAATGGTTTGAAATCGCATATAATGAGATAATCCGAACCTATTTTTAATTTATAATTTCAAATATTTATTTTGTAATTTGGGCTGTTTTATCAAATTCTTCGAATCATTTTGCCTCGTCTGTTTGTGTGTTTCATCTTCTGTTATTGTTCTGAAGTTTCTTTAGTATTTATTGGCTTAGTTGAGTGGATCTCTTTCTCATATTTGCGTTGATGATTTTCCTATCATTTATCGGTTTTGATAGTAGTGAGTGTGGCTAATATTCCATGCCTTACCACCTTTTTGCAATCATGTGCATTTTCATACTACCTCTCTTGACGAAACACACATTTCCTCATTCTGTTATTCGTCGATTTTCATTCATAAATTTTCTCAGTTGTAAACATAGCTTATTGAATAAGGAATTCTGCTTTATTTTTTGTATAATGCAAGAAATTCTGCTTTTTCTCAGAATAATTTGGTGTTTATTTAAATATGTATATATGAAGAAATGTATTTGCTCCAAAATAACTTCCTCCAAGGAAGTATAGTTTTCTTATGATTATTGTCCTCTTATTTTTTTCTTTAATTTGTTCGCATAAGTGGGTTATTCTTGCAGTAATGAAATCGTCTGTTAGGCACTCGTAAACTGTTTCGTTTTTTGCTGCTCTTGTTTTTTTTCTTTGTTTTATCATATATAATCGGATTGAATTTATCTTTAAAAGCTGAACATTACTGCTGCTGTGTTCCCAATCAAGGAGAAAAAATTGTTTTTTCGTGGGGCGTAAAGTTATCACTTGAATTTCTTTGGCAATATTTGAGTTATTGTAGGATATTAGGTAACTGAAATTCGTTTGGCTTTTGGCGTCCATGTTTTATAAGTTTTGGGAAGCAGATAAATGGCAGACAAATGTTAAGTTATTCTTTCCGTTTTAGTTATTCATTTTTCTTTTTTTTTTGTTGCTGAGCGTATTTTAGTAGTAGTTCATTTCATCTTTCTTGAGGTGTTTGTAGTTGAATCGATTTGATTTGTTTCTTTACATTACATTATTGTTCATCTTGTCTATTGTTGATAGCAATAGTTTTCTGTCCATTTTATCATTTTTTTCAGTGGCTTGCATACCGTGCGTTTTAATCAAATGTAATGAATTTGGAAAAATTAAGGCAAGTTTGCTTTTTTATCGATTAGTTTTTGTTTTTTCTTCGGGGTCGCGGTTTTTGAAAGTTTTTTTTGCATTTTTAAATATTCAGAAAGCAGTAGATAGTTTAGACGGTTGCGAAGTCATAAAGTAACCGAGAATGTGATCTCTTTTTAAACCGCATTTTCGAATCGTGCGTGTTTTTTTTGCGGCATCATATTGTTTTCGTAATTTCGAAATTGCTAAAATTGCTGCAGTCGATTTTATGACGCACATTGTTTTATCGTTTATCTTTTATGGCATGATGAAAATCATATGTTTGCCAAATGTAAGGTTACAGTGTCACAGTGCTATTGCGATATACAATATTTCATTTCATTATTTGTTTAATGTTAAATGTTTATAAAGGTTTTTTTTTGTTTTGCCCATTTTGAAAAATCAAAGTAAAAAAAAAATTTTGTGTGGATGTGCAAGATTGATTGTAGGTAGCACTGAAAAAATTACAATACATGGTGAGGTAGCTGGTTTTATGTTTTTCTGATTTGTTCCTATTCGCTTATTCCTGTGATTCTTTTCCATATAATTGACGTGGATTTGCTGAATCGATGTAGTAACTGAGTTGCATCGTATTTGTTTTTTTCAGTGCTTAGGATATTCGTGTAGGTAAAAATCATGCATTTAGAGGATTAGCATGTGCCAATTTCCGATACTTTTAGCGATTTTTGGTGAAATAAAAGCAGAGAAGATGCTCATAAAGCATAGAATCTACGTAGATATTTGTTTATTTGTACGTTTTAACAAAATATTTATTAAATTCATCAACGATATTTCTTGGATGAAGTTTTTTACATCAAGCGAAAGATGAAATTTCGAATAGTCTAAACGGCTAAAAGCGTTTTTATTAAGAAACTTGGAGATAGCTTTTAATAGATTTTTTGGATCATTTCAACAAATGGTTTGGGGATAGAATGGCTTAGTTGGTTGTTGCTCAATTTGGAGTGCCGATACTAAGGTTCTATTTCCCGCAGGAGTAAACTTGTCCAAAAATTCAGGTGATGCTGGTGACTCACCTGTTATTCTATCGCCAAGGGACTCTGGCGTATTTGTCCAATGCGACAAGCCAGTGGACAGAGTTTAACCCAGTAATGGGGAGGACTCTTAAAAGAAAAAAAGATTTTTTGAATTGTTTTTTTATTGAGTTCCACTTTTATTTCGTTGAAGTAAAGCTTTTTTAAATGTAAAGAACTGGGCTCGGACTTATCACTAGTAAACGGGTTGGTCACTCAATAGACGTGGCAATATACGAGGATGTCGAATAACTCGTACGTGCTTCAGTGAATGGTGATATGATATGATACGATGATTTTGGTGTGTTTAGCGAAGTGATCTGAAAAGGACCTTATCAGCTCAATTTTCCATTTGTTTATTTATATTATTGGCTTTGTTCGATTGTGTTTATATCATAAATTTTGTTGATATTAAAGATGTAAAAGAATATTTTTGTTGAATAAATTTTTCGACATTTACGGTTTAACGACAATTTTCTGCAAAATCATTATATAGAATTTTTCAAAAAAAAAGAAAAGTCTATGATAAGTTCGTTTGTGATAAGTTCTACGGTGATAAGTTTGTTGAAAATGCTGAAAATATTGTGATGAATAATAGATGTCAATAAGATTCGATAAATAATTCGGATTTGAGCTTTTTAATTTTCTTTCTCTCCAATGATAAATGAATTATTGTAATAAATGATAAAAGTTGATAAATGATAAAAATTATTTTTATTTCATTAGTGCAATTTAGTAAATAAAATTTCTAAATAAAATTAATTTTTATTCTAAGATCAAAAAAACATAAATCGAATATCAATAATATTCGTGAAAAAAAATAATAAAATTATATAAATTTTTTTTTTTGTTTTGCGTTTAAAAAGATTAAAAATTTTTGGTGAACATTTGTCGTTTTTTTTAGCCTTCGATAGAAGTAATTTATATGGATTTTCAATAAATCACCGGGTTTTTTCCTCACTTCCTACGTGCAAAAAAGAACGTACAATTTTCATCATCGTTGATTTAATTTCAGGTTCCACCTTTTTTTCTCTCTCTCTCTCTCTTTCAAAATTCGTTTTTATTAATTTACTTTAAAATTTAATTATTTTATTAATGTTCAATGTAATAAATAATCATTTTGTGAAATAATTAAATAAGATTTAATTTTGCCGTTTTATTGTTTTATAGTACGAAGAATTAAAGAATCGTCCACAACTGGCGTGATTCGAAATTGCAATCGGAGTAAATCGGAGTGAAATGGCTTGAAGTTATCATTTTTGATTAATGAAGGCCATTCAGTTGATTGTTAGAGCGATAATTTCTGTGAAAGAAATTGAAACTGGTGAAGGGATTAGCAAAATAAGAAGTGCGAGTACAGGTTGGCTCGATTGCTATCCGCTTTTTTAAAAATAACTCCTACCAAATATAGTGGCCGAACCAACTAAATCAAAGTGCTCGAAATGATAATTTAAGCAAGAATTACTCGGCTATTCCTATCAATCCAAAGTTATTCCACTTATTTTGCAAATAATATTTCGATCTTTTTCTCTTAGAAATATATTATATATGAAATTATTTAAGTTATTTCGACAATTTTTATATTTTTTATATTAATTTTATATTTTTATAATAAATTTTATGTTAATTCTTTTAATATTTCATTGTGATTTGAAGCATTTTTTTTTTTTTAAATATAAAAATATAAAATTAAATTTTTTATTTTTCATTTATTATTATTTTCATAAATTTTTATTTAATTGCCTTTCCATAAAGGATTTCTGAAAAGTTTTTTTGCAAATCTCATATTAAAGTAAATAGAAATTCCGCAAAATCACATTGCCCCATTGAAAATCCTAAATGCTTGTAAAAAATTATGCAATAATAAATTTCTCATTAGCGAAACGCTGAATTACAATTAGAAACTTCCTCCTTATAAATATTAATAGCAGCAGTTCAACATTTCAAAAGTTGATCTTTTTTTTTAGCAATTTTATTAAATACTATATTTCTTTTAAACTCAAAATATAATGCAAATGCTAAATGTTTTAATAAAATTATATTTTAATTTTTCTTATCAATTAATCAATTAATTATCAATTAATTTTTTAGAAAAGTAAAATAGAATTAATTTTTTCGCATAAGCAATTAATCGAATTATTTAAAAACTAAAGGCAATTAAAGTCTGAACATAGAGGCTAATAAAAATTATTTCACGTTATTTCATATTTCATAAAAATATTTGAAATTTTATTCATAAGAATTTATTTTTTTAAAAATTTTAAGATTTATTCGTTTTTTTTTCTTTTTGTTTAATAAATTTTTTTAAAAATTATTTTTAAAAAAAATTAAAAAATTATTTTTCAGAAAATTTTATCGAAACAAATGGATTTTCGTGGATTTTTTTCTTTCTTTTTTATGGAACTTTTGTTGAAACATCCAAAATTTTAAGAAATTTTCAAAATTGTTAGACATAAGTTGAGACAAAAATCGTGGAATAATTGATTTTCGTTTATCGGCTGCGTTGCCTTACATTTTCTGCTGATGAAA